TGAACAACCACAGCTGTTCCTTTTTTATCAGCCACAACACAGAACTGCTTGTCACTTTCTTTCATACACAGAACTTAACTCTTATATCACACACAAGACTGCTTCTCTCACAGACCTCAGAACGAACTAACTTCTCAACTATCTTCATCTACTTTCAAACCTGTAACTATCACTCCTGACAGACATACATATTCATCCACTCAAAATCACTTCCAAAACCCCTCCCCCTCTCTGTCAATCACCAATCACACCACACTTGTCTCTTCAACCACTCTAGTCTATCACAGCCATGCAACCAAACTTTTAAAGATACACACACACATATAAACCAAGGAATCATTACACCTTGTCATTCTGGATTTGGTAGTGCAGACCTTGTGATTCCCTCCCCCAACAGTTAGTGGACATTGAGTGCTGCAAATTAACTCTTTGTTCTGTATTTTTCTCCTGACCTGAACTATTTACTCGTCGCAGTCACGGGGTGCCCCAACTGCATGCAGGCACAATGGGTCCTTACCAAAGGAGAAGGGAACTTGTGCACGCTCCGTAGCCTGTGCCCCCTGTCCTTGCTCCAAGGAAGCTCCTTCCGCCTCAGGGAGTATAGCTACCATCTTCAGGGATGGTCCCCACATCTGGAAAAAGCAGCAAGAGAGAGAACATAAGACACGCCAATGTTGGATCAGGCCAAAGGCCCATCCAGTCCAACACTCTGTGTCACACAGTGGCCAGAAATACCAGTGCCATCAGGAGGTCCACCAGTGGGTTTAAGAACATAAGAACATAAGAGACGCCAATGTTGGATCAGGCCAAAGGCCCATCCAGTCCAACACTCTGTGTCACACAGTGGCCAGAAATACCAGTGCCATCAGGAGGTCCACCAGTGGGGCCAGGACATTAGAAGCCCTCCCACTGTTGACCCCCCCAAGCACCAAGAAGACAGAGCATCACTTGCCCCAGAGCCTCTATCTATACCTTGTGGCTAATAGCCACTGATGGACCTCTGCTCCATATGCTTATCTAATTCCCTTTTGAAGCCGTCCATGCCTGTAGCCGCCACCACTTCCTGTGGCAGTGAATTCCATGTGTTAATCACTCTTTGGGTGAAGAAGTACTTCCTCTTATCCGTTCTAACCCGACCGCTCTGCAGTTTCATGGAGTGCCCACGAGTTCTTGTATTGTGAGAAAGGGAGAAAAGTACCTCTTTCTTTACCTGCTCTTTCCCATGCATAATCTTATAAACCTCAATCATGTCACCCCTCAGTCATCTTTTCTCCAATCTAAAGAGCCCTAAGCGCTTTAACCTTTCCTCATAGGGAAAGTGTTCCAACCCTTTTATCATTCGAGTTGCCCTTTTCTGCACTTTTTCCAAAGCTATAATATCCTTTTTAAGGTGTGGTGACCAGAACTGCACACAGTATTCCAAATGAGGTCTCACCATTGATTTATATAGGGGCATTATTATATTGGCTGATCTGTTTTCAATACCCTTCCTAATAATCCCCAGCATAGCATTGGCCTTCTTTATTGCAGTCACACACTGTCTCGACATTTTCAGTGAGTTATCCACTACAACTCCAAGATCTCTCTCTTGATCAGTCTCTGCCAGTTCAGACCCCATCAATGTGTATTTATATTTAGGATTTTTGGCTCCAATGTGCATCACCTTGCACTTGGCCACATTGAACCCCATTTGCCATGTTGACGCCCACTCGCCCATCCTTGACAGATCCCCTTGGAGTGCCTCACAATCCTCACTGGTTTTCACCACCCTGAACAACTTTGTATCATCCGCAAATTTAGCCACTTCACTGCTTACTCCCATCTCCAAATCATTAATGAACAAGTTAAAAAGCAGTGGACCAAGTACTGATCCCTGCGGTACCCCACTGCTTACCACCCTCCACTGAGAAAATTGCCCACCTACACTCACTCTCTGTTTTCTATGAACTAGCCAGTTTTTGATCCATAAAAGGACTTGTCCTTCTATCCCATGATTTTTGAGCTTACTTAGGAGCCTTTGATGAGGAACTTTATCAAAAGCTTTCTGGAAGTCAAGGTAAACAATATCTATTGGATCCCCCTTGTCCACATGTTTGTTCACCCCCTCAAAGAACACTAACAGGTTAGTGAGACAAGATCTTCCCTTACAGAAACCGTGCTGAGTCTGCCTCAATAGGTTTTGTTCATCTATGTGCCTACTAATTCTTTCCTTAATAATGGTTTCCACCAATTTACCCGGTATCGACGTCAGACTGACTGGCCTGTAATTTCCCGGATCTCCTCTGGAACCCTTTTTAAAGATGGGAGTGATATTAGCTACCTTCCAATCCTCAGGAATGGAGGCAGTTTTTAAGGAAAGATTACATATCTTTGTCAGGAGATCCACAAGTTCACATTTGAGATCTTTCAGAACTCTCGGATGTATTGTGTCTTGAACTGGACATACCTGGAGGAAATCCCCTCACCTGCTCTGCCTGCCTCTTCTCCTCTGCCTGACTCAGGAGGAAACCTTCGGCCAGGGCCACTGCCTCGGAACTGGTCTCCGGCCCACATCCTCTGACCCAGCCCTGCATTTCCTGGGGCAGGAGAGTCAGGAACTGCTCCAGGATCACCAGGTCCAGGATCTGCTTCTTGGTGTGCCTCTCCGGCTTCAGCCAGTGGCTGCAAAGTCCATGGAGCTGGCTGCAAACCTCCCGGGGCCCAGTGGCCTCGTGGTAGCAGAATTCCCGGAAGCCTCGGCTACGTACATCTGAGGTTGTGGTGTCCTTAGGCAGGACCTCTGGCCCCCCGATTCTTTCCCAGAATTCAACACCAGAATTCAACGCTTGGATGGGATGGGGGCTTTTCCTTGCTCTCTTGTCAGTTCCAGGTCCTTCTGAGTCCTGCGCTTCCATCTCCTTCCCCTTCTCTTGGGTCACCTCCGTCTGTGAAAACATGCCTTTAACTTGCTTGGCTATGAAGGGAGGCTTCTCCCTGAGGGGACAGAGAGAGACAGACTGCATCGTATCAGAAGGAAAATGGAAAAGAATGGAAATACACTATTGAACATCACAAACCTTCATGGTGAGAATGGCCCTGGTGGATGAGAACAGAAGTGTCTCTGTTTGGCTCTTTAAGGATGTGGCAAACTTAGCCTCTCATTCCATTTGGGTCAGTCTGTCCTCGGGGCTAATGCTTAAGGTAGCCCCAAAAGGACAAGAGGGACTGGTGGCCCCTTTACCATTTTACGCATCCTTTCAACAGGCCGGAATGTGTCCCTGGGAAGAACAGAGGGTTGGACTAGACGGCCTGTCTGGCCCCTTCCAGCTCTGTGACTCCAGGATTCCATGACTTTCAGAACAAGGAGCTGAGGTCAGGAGAGAAAGGCAGACAGGCTCCGGAATGAGATCTGGCTGAAAAAAAGGGAGGCACAGAAACGCTCCCTCTGGGCAGCTGATGTGGGGTGGGGGACCTGCGAATCTGTGGGAGTTCCTCTGGCTTCCACCCCTGCTCAGCTCTGCCAGGATACTGGGCATCAAGGCAAACTATAACAAGAAACCAGAAGGCTCCAGGGCTTTCTCCTTAGAAGGGGAACCAACCCAGGTAAACAGTATCCGTTGGCGCTTCTTACCCCAGGACAAAAGAGGGCGCAGGTAACAAGTCTTTCATCCAGAGAAGAATCCCTGTTTTCTCCTGGCCCCCAACTCCAGATCACCCTGAAAGGAGGACCGTCTTCCAGAGTCCAGCCTAAGTGGAGTCCTGAAAACCTTTGGATGGCTCCTGAGTGTCTCCCTGGGGCGCTGGAGGTGGTTGATTTGGGGGGGAGCCAAAATGCCTGGAATTTGGCATGAATGGTTCATCACCTTTGATCTCATCTGGGACCCCTTTCTGGGCACGCTTTGTATTCTTGCTGGTACCCCCTTAGCAGGAATTGACCCCCGGCTTCCTGTATCTGTGCCCTGAAGTTTCTTCCTGTTTATTGTCTGGGGGTCTGTACCCCTCTTGTATCCTGGAAACAAAGCCAGTTTGGGTCCAGGGCGGGCCGGACTCCCCTTTCCCCCCAACCCCTTTCTTACTCTCCCCCCCCCCCCCAGGGCCTCCTTCTGTTCCTTTGTCTGTTTGCAGAATTAAAATGACAGGCAAGGGAACGGTAGTTTCCCGCATT